ACTTAGCCAGTACCCATAAACAACTGGGACGACTGGAATAATAAAGAAAGATGACTCATTCAATACCCATTAACAACTGTGACGATTTGAATAATGAGGAAAGATGACTTATTCAGTATCCATTAACCGCTGAGATGACTGGAATGATAAAGTAAGCTGACTTATTCAGTACCCATTAACAACTGGGACGACTGGAATAATAAGGAAAGGTGACTTAGCCAGTACTCATTAACCACTGAGATGTACCTATTAAAAACCGTGACGATTTGAATAATGAGGAAAGCTAACTTAGCCAGTACCCTTTAACCACTGAGATGACTAGAATAATAAAGAAAGATGACTTATTCAGTACCCATAAACAACTAAGACGACCTGCACAATGAGGAAAGCTGACTTAGCCAGTACCCATTAAAAACTGTGACGATTTGAATAATGAGGAAAGCTGACTTAGCCAGTACCCATTAACCACTGAGATGACTGGAATGATAAAAAAAGATGACTTATTCAGTACCCATTAACAACTGGGACGACTGGAATAATAAAGAAAGCTGACTTATTCAGTACCCATTAACAACTGGAACGACTGGAATAATAAAGAAAGATGACTCATTCAGTACCCATTAACCACTGAGATGACTGGAATGATATAGAAAGATGGCTTATTCAGTACCCATTAAAAACTGTGACGATTTGAATAATGAGGAAAGCTGACTTAGCCAGTACCCATTAACAACTGGGACGACTGGAATAATAAAGAAAGATGACTTATTCAGTACCCATTAAAAACTGTGACGATTTGAATAATGAGGAAAGCTGACTTAGCCAGTACCCATTAACCACTTAGATGACTGGAATGATAAAGAAAGCTGACTTAGCCAGTACCCATTAACAACTGGGACGACTGGAATAATAAAGAAAGATGACTCATTCAATACCCATTAACAACTGTGACGATTTGAATAATGAGGAAAGATGACTTATTCAGTATCCATTAACCACTGAGATGACTGGAATGATAAAGAAAGCTGACTTAGCCAGTACCCATTAACCACTGAGATGACTGGAATGATAAAGAAAGATGACTTATTCGGTACCCATAATAAACTGAGACGACCTTGAATAATGAGGAAAGCTGACTTAGCCAGTACCCAATAACCACTGAGATGACTGGAAATATAAAAAAAGATGACTTATTCAGTACCCATTAACAACTGGGACGACTGGAATAATAAAGAAAGATGACTCAATCAATACCCATTAACAACTGTGACGATTTGAATAATGAGGAAAGATGACTTAGCCAGTACCCATTAACCACTGAGATGACCGGAATAATAAAGAAAGATGACTTATTCAGTACCCATTAAAAACTGTGACGATTTGAAAAATGAGGAAAGCTGACTTAGCCAGTACCCATTAACCACTGAGATGACTGGAATGATAAAGAAAGATAACTTATTCTGTATCCATTAACAACTGGGATGACCTGAATAATGAGGGAAGCTGACTTAGCAAGTACTCATTAACCACTGAGATGACTGGAATAATAAAGAAAGATGACTTATACCCATTAACAACTTTGACGACTGGAATAATAAGGAAAGATGACTTATTCAGTACAACTGTGACGACTTATCCAGTACCCATTAAAAACTGTGACGATTTGAATAATGAGGAAAGCTGGCTTATATAATACTTTTTATACATATCACACGACTTTTCCAATCCGACCAAGACAATCAGCCAAGACCTCCATTTCTTTCCAATTTAAATCCAACATAATGTTACTGGCAAATAGCCCCGAGTCCAATATTGACAATATTAATGGATTTCAAATATTGGACTCTTCGTCCTTTGCCAAGTAAATGTGACCTTATTTTTAAAATGTATTCACGATTGACATGGCTTCAAATAATTTGTGAACACTATATGAAATACCGGTATATATATATATATAAAGATGATGTTGGTTAAAGCATCTATGTGAGATTTATTCCTTAATCATATTAAGAGAAAGGTCAACTGGGTTATAATTAGAATAGTATTCTTATTATGTCAAATTTCGATCATGACCTACATCAGAGACGAATTCTGAAAGCTAAATCACCATTTTCATTTTTATTTGAGTATCGGATACCCAACAGGTTGCATAGGGTTGCAGAGAGACTTTGCTTGGACCACGTCTGCATTTAGATGTCCGTTTTTATATCTGAAATTGTACAAAACAAAAAATTGTAACATACCCGAAAATATAGATCTTGATATGTGCGCTGTCTTATAGGCTCTAGAGATTTTGATGAATGTTGCTAGAGGTTACACAACGTAGTGTTTGTTTGACGAAACCTTGACATCGTTTCACAGATGGCCTGGAATATGGAAGGCGGAATGGCATTTTATTCAATGTTCTTCATTGCTATTCCTTAATTCTTAAATCTAAATTCTTATCTCTTAATTTGCACTCTTTATTCAACATTTGTCGATGAAAATTGACATTTGTATACAAAAATCATAATTTTTACTGAAAATGAACATTCTTCGATAAACATTTGGTTTTATTGAATTAATAGAATTCTTGCCAAAAATATTCTCAAATACAAATCTACATATTATACAAATCTCGCTCAACATATCTTCAAATACAAAACGTCAAACACCAAACTCTACTAACAAATTTTCAAATACAAATGTTCAATAACAAATCTCGCTCAACAAATCTTACGAAACATTATCCAAATACATATCGAATATATCATGATTATGACGACAGGTGTCGCAAGATTTGTTGAGCGAGATTTGTTATTGAACATCTGTATTTGAACATCTGTATTTGAACATTTGTTGGTAGAGTTTGGTGTTTGACGTTTTGTATTTGAAGATATGTTGAGCGAGATTTGTATAATATATAGATTTGTATTTGAGGATATTTTTAACAAAAATTCTATTGGTTTAATAATTGGAAAACCGAATGTTTATCGAAGAATGTTCATTTGCAGTACAAATTATGATTTTTGTATACAAATGTCAATACCAAATGTTGAATGAAGCGTGCAAATTAAGAGACAAGAATTTTGAATTAAGAATTAAGAAATAGCAATGAAGAACATTGAATAAAAGGTCATTCCGCCTTCCATACACATACTTCGTGCGTGCAAGATCTAGTTTATTGTCATTATAATATAAAAAGGTCAACAGTGAAAATAGAACAGTAACAAGAATAAAGGTTAAAGGCCTTCAATAAACTTCATCTGAGATTTTGGTTATAAACTAGTTCAATTCAATTACTATTTACATCTATTTACAATTAAAATAAATAACTAGGGCATAAAAATAGATTCACAAACTGGATGACATACTTTGTGTTTTGTAGCTGAAAATAGACACTGAGTCATTTGAACGGAAATAACCCAACTGCTCTTTACAATAATGGCGATCTCCTTTCAATATACGAGGGTAACCAGCAGCATTCCCAAAGCTGATATGAATGTCAAATTAATTGTCTTGGGCTTTAGATAGCATTGCCATATAAATTGAGTCAAATTAACAACCTGGTCCTATCCCATTTAGAAAACAACCATTTAAAATAAGGAAATACAGAAAAACTAGCAACCTTCGAGGTTGATAAGAGTGCTATAATCCAACACCGTACACCGTAAACCTCGTCTATTCAGGGCTTCAAGTCGATGTTCTGAAGAAATAAATCAATTCCTCATTGCACACTGTATGACTATATCCATCTTTTAATTGGCACAAATAGTAGCAGAAATATAGGACGTAAAACTCCATTGTTTTCTAATTCGTTTCATATTTTCTTCTCTGCGAGTGACTCGTCTTGTCATCTTCAATCTGATGAAATATTTATGCTTTCATATTTGGGTCATCTGATATTCAACTCCGTACTATATGTCAAAAATCATGGGATATTCACAGATCAATATTGAGTTATATTGACAAACCACTGTTAAATTACAAGCCGCTTTGTGTAGGTCAGAAAACATTTTGGCTCAAATTTGCGACAACTTATTTGTCCCTTAACGTATCTGAAAGTTTTAACTAATTAATCCAGCCGTTAAATTCTTAACGCCAAAAGTCAACGTTATGCTTTTTTTAAGCCATTAGAAAACTGCTGTACGGATTCAAGTCGACGGACCACCACAAAAAAAAAATGCAGGAGTACATATGTTTAAAAAAAAGACATTTCCAGGGAAGGGGTCCCATTCCACTTTAGTCCTCGCTCATCTAGTTGAGTCACTTTTTAATTTATTATGCTCTTGATTTCCATTAAAAAATTAAAAAACATTTTTTTTACCATATTATTGCAAGAGGATCAACACATCTATTTTGCTTTCACGCCCCGGGGATGTTAAGGAGTTGGTTTATCAACACATTAACAAAAGAAGACTGGCGTTAAACACCACCCTTGTTGCACCCCAATTTCACTCTCAATCGGTAATTATGGGGTGGGTTCTAACTAATCTGAAAATAACGCAGGTTGATTTTTGTCTTCAAAATCCTATTAACTTAAATATAATTCTCAAATCAAAATATTAGCATTTTAATTTAGACGATTACATCTGTCATTTGTTAAGGAATAAATTGAATTAAATTGAGTCTTATATCGTACTTACTTTTCGGCAACTTATTGAATTTATTACGTACACACAAGTGTAATGAAAAACTAAGCCGGCATCAACCTACGACAGAGGGTTTTTCGACGGTCAACGTGAAAACCTGCAGCACACAAGGCTTAGGAATACTATCAAATTCTATCGATTAGACGCAGTGTGGTCCCTCGAAACTGCAACGATGACAAGGGGAAACAATCGCATTGTTAAATGTATAAGAGACAGAAAAATAAACACTGTAATTAATTTATTCCATTCTACAAAACCATCTATATAATCATGAAATTTTATATAATATATAATATACATGTACATGTGAGGATTTTGTATAACACGTTTAAGGCTGCAGTGCCAGTTAGGTAAGTTGTAGAAAACAGATTCCCGAAATGTAAAATAACAATCGATATTTGAATTCTTTTAGTCAAATTATAAGCTTTGTTCTCTCGTATGACTGATTAGTACAGCTAAATAGTCTAGAGCTCCAGTCAGACATGACTGGTTAGTACAGGTAAATATATAGTCAAGAGGTCTAGTCAGACATGACTGGTTAGTACAGGTAAATATATAGTCTAGAGCTCTAGTCAGACATGACTGGTTAGTACAGCTAAATATATAGTCAAGAGGTCTAGTCAGACATGACTGGTTAGTACAGCTAAATATATAGTCTAGAGCTCTAGTCAGACATGCCTGTACAGCTAAATATATAGTCTAGAGCTCTAGTCAGACATGCCTGTACAGCTAAATATATAGTCTAGAGCTCTAGTCAGGCATGCTTGTACAGCTAAATATATAGTCTAGAGCTCTAGTCCGGCATGCCTGTACAGCTAAATATATAGTCTAAAGCTCTAGTCAGACATGACTGTACAGCTAAATATTTAGTATAGAGCTCTAGTCAGGCATGACTGCTAAATATTGTCCAATCAACAGGATGTGTTCACGTTCCGGTTAAATTGAATTCTAGAAAAAAAAACAATAAGAAAATAAAAAAACACAAATATTTACAATTACACAAACATATAAATGTACATGTATCTACAAAAACAGGCGTTTCAATTAACGAATAGATAATATCGTGTCTAGTTATTTTACTGACTAAGCTTTATTCCAATGACATTTCTCTGATATGCGATGTATCAAACTGAACAACAAACTGATGGTTCGACGATCGATAACCATTGCAGCTATCTCCGAGTACAGCTCTATACATTTCTAAGATAAAATGAAAATGTTCACAAGTATAAAATGTGATTGGTGATATATCTTTTCATTATGAAGAACTTCCCTATGATTGATTGAAATACTTCCTCATATGAAAAGTTCATTAGCTGCTACCAACGTATTTTTATTATATTGTTTTGAAATTCGAATATGTTTTGTGGTTCGGATTGTTAGCTTTTACTATCCCATCTTATAAACATTGTAGACAGGGAGTAGATATTTTGTTTATTCAACTCCCTGAAACCAATATAATTATCTACCAAATCGATTATTCTGTCTTTTTACGTTACATCTCTCTCGTAATTCAGCGATAGTGTTCTCCGTTCTTCGTTCGACTTCCGCACATGCTTCGTCGCACATGGTTTGGAGTTTAACAGACGTCTCTGCCAATGTAGCCTGAAGACTTTCTAACTCCTTAATTTTGTTTCGTATGACACGTCGTGAACGTTCAAGTTGTTCTGTAGTCATAGCTCTGGTCTCTTCGCTATTTACATCAAGTGTTTCGTGATCTTTGTGATCGTTAAGTGCACACCTTGAGCACATTCCGAGCCTACAATCAGTACAGTAATAATCTACCTCACTTTCACTGTGATTTGGACATTTTGGTTTCTCTGTAGATGAAGGCTGATCTGTTACTGTGGTGGTACGTTTCGGTGTTATCAGTACTAAATTGGTAGTTAACATTTTAGCCCCACCTTCAGCAATCTTATGCCGCTGTCCACAAATAAGACATAAAAATTTCTCTGTTTTTTCACAAACGTTAACGTCAATACAATCTTCACAAAAAGTGTGCCCACAAGGTAACACCTTTGGTGTCTTAAAACTATCACAGCAGATTGGACATTTGAGTTTATTTAAACTGGTGGCCATTTTTTCTGCTATGACACACAATTTTAGATACACACTAGACTTTATAATTTTAGATAGACTGTATAATAACAGATAGACTGTTCAGAAACACACTAGCAATGTCCTGGTTGAAAATAAAACACTAAAGTATATAACACACTATAGATGTTTTTGCAAATAGAACACTTAAGTATAGAACACACTGGAGATGTTGAAAACAAAACACTAAACACAATGTGGGTGTGATATATTTTATGGTTTGTCAGGAAACATCAAATGAAGACGTTGTGATCTGTTGAAGCTTACTAACCAGTCTAATATGAGACCCAGCGCAGTGTGTATATGATTTATGCCATATTTACTACACAATAGTTAATATTTCCACGAATGATTCCCTCTTATACATGTTTAGACTTCTTAGAAAATGGCTGTGTTTATCTTCCCTATAGAGACGTAATCACGCGATATAATGATATAGTAAGCCTCGATTTGAAATTGAGGTCAGCCATTGAATAGATATTCAAGTAATATGCAAGTAAACGTAATGTAGAGTATATATAATATAATAATATATAGTGTCAGGTTAACTTTGTCTAATATAAATAGATATAAATATAAACTGTAGATATAACATATGTCACGATGACCAAATTTAGTAGTAATGTTATTAAGACGACAATATACACTTCCAAACTAGTAAAACCACCATAATATCTTCAGGATAACGAAAGCCTTCATCACTGTATTGGAAATCGCGGATTTAAACGAGTGGTCTCCCACTATGCGCCAACACATTTTCTAAATATTGTTATGTAACCAAAATGCATCTTCATGATACCAAATTGCACATTTCAGTCCCTATAACTATAAAAATATTTCTCAAGTTACAATATTTACATGCCCATTCAAGCGATTGTTCTCTAAAAAGACCAAACGCTCTCGATTATAAATTACCGATATGCCATTTGAGTCGAAAACTTCCAGGATTATATCCTAAACCATAGCAAGTGTTAAAAAAATCAAATCCAAACTGTAGCAACTACGAGACATGTTAATTTAAAATCTTGCAATCAATTTTGTCGTAAATTTAGTATTTATCAATGTAAAATTCTACACCAACGAGAAATTCCTATCGTATAAGATTTTTAGTAGAACGGGGCCCAAGACTTTCCATTCTTTTTCACCTTGAACCATGGGCGTTACCTATGTTTGCTTTTCATAATAAAAGTTGAATGAGCTTACACACTTCAATAAAAGAGCAGTGGATTGATTCGAACGATGTGTAATTTAAAGATGGGTTTCCTTATTTTTTAGTGTCAAATTAAGGAAACTCTATTGTAACACATGTATTGTTAACCATATCATTATGTTATTGTAATGTTATGCTAATATTCATTTGAGAGAATCGATACAAGTGAAATTATGATCAAATTAAAATAATACAAATTAATTGTTATCATGTGTGAACTCATTTAGGCCAAGTTCAAGAGTTCAATATGCTGATAAAAAACTATTAAAAAAGTAAATTTAATGGTTGTAACATATTGGATAGAACTAATTCCTTTTGATCGTGGTCATTCAATATTTTATATATATGATAATTCAACACTTGTTTCATTAAAAATATTAATTGGTTTTATCAAATGAATATAAATATGAGTGGAATAATAGAGTTCCTGAGTTCCAGTATTTTCCATCGTACATCTCGTATGTGTAACTAGTTAAATAGGTTGAATAAAATAGTTGATAATTATAGTCTTAATATATACGGGAGCTGGGACGCTAGATTATTATTGCATATAATTAAGAGTTTTAACCACTGATGAATGTCCATGTATTTAAAGTCTGAATACATGTAAAGGAAAAAAAGACTTTTTGACCTTTCTTGATCTTATTTAGCTAATTAAGAATCAATTATGGACATGTGAGACAAACTTGTGTTTTTCCAAGTCATTAGAACATCTCTACTTTCTATTCATAGAAGTATTAGCATTTTCATTTTCATAAATAAAAATGAGGGAACCCATCTTTAATGAGGTACTTGGGTCATACTGAAGCCAAACAAATCATCAACTTGTGTCGTAAGATAAATAAGGTGCCAATAAAAAAGGCGTAAAATCTCATTCCATTCTATACCACGAAGCAATTGGTAGATTATCATTTCTTTTGTGTGTTCAAAACAATGTATATTGATGAAAGAAAATTGACTGTACCAGTAATTACACACAACTGAAGGGAGATAATTGCATTAAATTCGTCACGACATTACTTTTTGTCGACCTGTCGCCTCAGATTTCATTAACTCGTTGATATAACACAACTAACATCAAAACGTTTGCTTCCGAACTCTGTATGCGAATATGCAATAAGGACAATGGAGGGGATGGGTTGGTCAGGAAAATGCGGGCCCTAATAAATGAGTTCATAAATGCCTAGTGCTATCAGACCCCTCCCTTCACCTTTGACAATTCTTTGGCCCTTCCTGGTGTCTCCAACTAATGATACCTAGAAATACACTGGCGTTTTTATATTTCCAGTGAAATGAGCCTCATCGTATCAATAGATTACTGAAAGGGGGACAAAACACATTGGACACAGGAAAGAAAGTATGACAATATGAAAACAAACAAAGTTTATTTACAAACTGAAATATATACATATAAATACTTCACTCGGGATTATTGATTCATTATATTCTCATGACATTGTGTTACAAATAGGTATTAAGTTGAACATGTTAATATAATAATGCAACCGAAATGTACTCGTCTACATATTGCCTTGTTGACTAAAACACTTACTGTGGATCACTATGGATATTGAATCAGAGTGTAAAATGACAATACATAGCATTTCAAAAAAAATAAACACAGAGTAAGTCTTGAATTAAAACTTTTGTTTTTTGTGATGCTCGTGTATCGATGTCGGTTCGTCTGCCAGCGGAGATTGTCTGTAACAACTGGACTTCCGATTTCATTATAGAAAACACTAACAGTTCATATTTGCCCAAATGTCTTAGAAATCTTGTTACAAAAAACTTATGTTGAAGATTTTCGGTCTAATGGTAAAGGCATTTTCGGTAACGACACGGTTGGAGTAGAAAGTTTGATTTTACAGTCAGTGCAAGCACATGGTAGATAGGTCGGTGGAGAGTACGGTGATGGGAGATGAAGGGTAGGAGGATGTTGGGGCAACAACAACGAAGTCCTACTTAAATCATGGGTATGGTTAAACGGTGATGGTAGAGCAGCATGGGATCTTTGAATTGAAATATCTTGAACCAAGCGTCGCATCTCATCTAACGATCTAGTCAGCATCACTATATAGTTCCTGGCTAACAATAATGTGGACATTTTGGACAGTTTTTTCACCGAGGGTCCTTGAGAGTAAGGCATAACTTGTCTTAGGCTGTCCAATGCTGTGTTTAGATCGTGCATTCGCTCGCGTTCACGTCCGTTAATTCGTAGCCGTACCTCTTCGGGGACGTTTGATTTCGGATTGAACCGTCTGTCACGCTTTTCCTCCTGGAAATATTCCTTGTCCACTTCCTGTTTGAATTCTTTAGCTGTTCTGATGGCCAGCTTGATGCCTTCGTTGAAATCAGTGTCGTCTGTAGATGAGATCTCTGGTCCAGAACTAGTGCTGCTCACTCTTTTATCCATTTTAGTCAAATCCACCAGCTCCAAATCCGATAAAGTTCTTATCTCTGATTTCCCGAAACTTGAATGTTGAAACCGTTTAGGTTATATCTTTGATTTCAAATACACTGGTGGGTAAAGAAATGCACACTATCGTTTTGTTCTTGAAAGTATCTGACTTTTTCGACCGTCTTATAGATTTAACTCCTACTATAACTAATTGGTAACACAGTTGGTCTTTTTCCTGATCGTATTGTTCTTGTATTTTTTCGAATTCTTTACGGAATTATTCTCGACTTCAAGTTGGTAGCAAAATCATAAATTTCGTTTCGTGTTTGGTATATTCTTGTACAATAGCCCTTTAAAATTAAGATGTTGAGTCACTGTAGATATTCAGTAGATATATATTGCAAAACTTTATCCAATTATTTCTTCCACCGCAATAGTCTTGATTGCCAATAGAAAATGTTCCTTTTGTTATCCAGTAATATGTTTGTCCTTATTGCATCACTTCTTCACTCAATGTATACCATAAGGAATCCAGGGAATAACTGGTTAGAAATCATCTCAGTTAAACCTTATAAACAATTCAAAACAAAAACAGTGTGAGGATTTATCCCTGAGTGGTGACTTGCTTTCTATCCACTAATACGTGATGAAAAGATGCTTTGACGAGGGACCCTAATCATGACTGTCAATTCAGGGATAATTACAGACCCCCTAGGGTGAGGGGACGGACTCTATTACTCGCTCTTTTTATGCATTCAAGCGACGAATCGTCGTCTGTCCATCAACCAATAAACATGTTTTAATTTCACTCTTCTATTGTTTGTTAAGAGGAATTCGTTTACAAGTTGTAATTATGGACATATGATAGGTATTGAATATTCGGGATTCGATTTGTTCTGGGCTTGCCACTTGCTAATGAAAAGGTACCATTCTATGTAAAAATGGATGATTTTTAGAACATATGTTCTACATAAGAGCATATTGGTACCTTCATTACCTGGTGTCATAAATAACATAACAGGATCCGATAAATCCAAAAAACTTATTAAAAATGCAATTAACTATTGAAAACCGCTTATTATTATGATTAAACGTTTTTCAATAATTACTTAGTTTTATAAATTTTCTAATTTTCTAGATTTTACAGGGATTCTGTTGTAACTTTATGACACCACGTTATACTTTGATAAAACAAAAATCAAAATCGTATGTCGCATACATAGACTTGTAAGTATATTTGAATCACACAAACAAGGATAATTTGTAAAACCAGCGATACTATCAATACACAGTCAATCAAATCTTAGTATTCAAATTTACATGTTCATGTTATAATTACATTACTAGAATAGGAAGAGTGAAATGGGATACCCTTGTCTTACGCCGCAATTGAAATTGAATAATTCTTAAAAGGAAATAGGATAAGAATAATGAAACATATCTTTTACAGTAATTTTTGTCGAAATACCATTCATTTCGAGTTTTGCGGATAACGAAAATTTAAATGAATGAATTGTACCAAAAACAATCATTTCTTGACTTGACGACTCGAAGAAATACATTTGAAAATTGGGCCAGAAGAGGAGGGTTCATTTTTCAAAATTTATGAATCCCTCTTCTGTGAATGTACTAATATACATTATTGTTCCAGATATTGTCATGCTTGTGACCTGTTTGGTTAACGGAATTGGTTTTGTCTGTATACGGATTTTTATTCTAATAATAATATAATAATGGTATGACTGATAAATTTTACTAATTTTACTTAAGTAACTGTATTCTATTAATTAAAATATTGTCCATCAAACGGATATAAGAAAATCCGCTCCGTCAAGACGTTAGAAATGTTAAGGACAAGACACTACCAGATGTCTTGAGCAATCTCTAAGACGATCAGTATTTGCTTCAAATAGAGCTTAATGTGACACATAATAAGACAGAGTAAGATTAGCCGAGGCGATAAAAGATGAGGGTTAAGAAAGTGGGGCAGTGTATAATTATCTTACCATGACACCATTTAGTCTGGTGTAGAAGGGGAGGATTGACTTGCCACGCCCTCTCTACACTACCCTAATACAGATCAGTGATAGGTAATTGTTGTCTTAAGATTATCAGAGATAAGATTACCATGATTAGAGATTAACACGTTGTTTTATAGGTAGAGGGGGGTGACAATAACTGAAATGAATGTAGTTTTACATCATAATATACATGTACTATAATAAGCCTGTATTCAAATCCCATTCGGTTACTGAATAAAATATTGTTTTTATATAAGAAGAAAGTGTACGTCTTGCTTTACCGAGTTTACCACCCACATAATTAAGTTGACCAATGTCAGGACTACTTCCCTTTCCTTTCAGTTACTAAATGAAATATAGTTTATATATCAACAAAAAAGAACACGTTTTTTACTTTATATTTGAAATATGATGAATTTACAAGATCATCCTGCAATAACAACCCTGTATGAAGATAGAAGAATCGTTCGTTTGCAATAGAACACACATAGTGCAATCTCTGTGTCAAAATCAAATATTATTCCGCGAGCGCTCTACAGATTCCGCAATTTTCTATTATCTTCGAGCACTATAGCATATTTTGAAAAAGAAACGTTTGTGAATTGAAAATTTGTGTGTCGTTGATGTTAAATTTTCAAGCGATCAGTCAAAGAATTGTTTTACATCTTAAGTTTTTGATAGCGTACAAGCGCTCCATGGCTTTATTTGCTATTTTGTGGTAATTTGAATTATTTGAAATAGTCTCTTCTTTAAGTGAAATATGAACATTATATTGTCGATGATATAAATTACCAAGTGAATTGTTCACAAAATGTTAAATCCGATAATAACCCATGTTGGTGAAGAAAATAACACACAGGTCAAAAGTCATCAGAAGTTGAAAGAATTTCATTACCATTTAAATTGTCAAGAAAATTAAAAATTCAAAAAACACGAGATAAAGATCATTCATTTGGCCACAAACAAGATTATAACCTATAGGGAATTGGATGATGGCTTGGCTTTCACTCGCCTCAAGCAAAACATCTTGCACATATTCACACAATTGCATTGCTACGCTATTCTATGTGAATTGTAACCAGCCAAATACAGATATTTCTAGAACATTGTGCACTGAAACAAATCAATAAAACCCCTGCTAGAGTACAAATCACTATACCAAGAAGAGTATACTCAATCTTTGTGTTCGGATTGTGTCGAATAATAGTTTTATAGTCCACTTTTATAAACTATGTCGAGTCATTGAAGAAGGGCAACGCGAAGAAAATTTGGAAACAATGGCATTGCTTTGCTCCTTTTCAAATCATATTATCTCGATATATATTGCACCAATGTCAACACTACCATTGGCTTCGAACCCTAGGTTAGAAAAACCTATAAACCAAGTTTTGAATATAAGACCAAACCGCTCCCTAATCAGAAAGACGGAGGGGCAATACTTTCACTGATTGGAAATAAACGATGGTGTATTATTATCTCTGTCTAATTTAATCGAATTCTATTAGGATCTTCTCTGAGTCATTGTTCATACAGAATCTATTTATTAAAGTTATGTTCACATTGGTTAATTTGTACATCACGATACGTTTGATGTTGGGCGGCCTTATTGTCCACTAGTTACATATACTAATTACACATAACAGTACATATGTCCTGTCCGCTTCCCCAGGGAAAATCTTGAAGCTATATAGTGATACCAGTAAATGTAAACGTATCCTATTGGCTATACTCAATAATAGAATAAGACTTGATTAGAGGTTACGAAATCGTCAGTTAATATTGCTGCAATGAAATTATATATATATAGTCTTTTGACTTCAATGGAAGGAGGAAACGCCGCCGTGAATCAGTCGGATCTATATATTATATTCGTTTAGCCATTTTGTCGCTGTCGACGACCTCACTATTGCATCAACGCTATGTAGTTTGAACTAAAAAACATAATACGATCCATGAGTCTGGTGTGGGATGGGGACAGCATTACAACTTGCCAATTTGTTAAGAGTCATCCGTTAAGGTCTCAAAACTATCAATGATATTTGTAAATTGAATGAGATGCGTTAGAGATTATATACACGTCCTATTGAGAAAGATATAATATTGACTAGCCTTAGATTAGATTTTTAATAAACCTCTAATCCATTCTCCCGCCAACTGTTTATAATATCTGATGAGAGAAGACAGTAAGGGCTAGCTTCGGATTAAGAGTTCTAAAGAAAAAGATTAATAAGGTGGCACAAGGTGATCAAGTATGGTAGTATCGCGAGCAATGTGATATCAGTCTTTATTCGATTCATCAAACAACAATTTCGTCAAATAACAGATTACGACGGTCGATGGTTAGGACGCAGACGGTAACGGAACAGTTGAGACGGAGGCTCTCGAAATTGACAGGGCGGAGGAATAATCCGATTAATTTCTCGAATTGAATATATGAGGTGTCTTTTAAAAGATGGACTCATTAATCCGCGATATGATGCTCAGATATTTTTTCAGACCTTACAAACCATAATATAGTTGACAAAGTATTTTTGTTAAAAATATCAGTAGCGATATTATCTCCCTTTTTACATTATATTTAATTGGGAGTGGGCATGGCTGAATTTTTAAGTAGTTAACATTTATAAGGCCGGGCTAAACATCGGTGAGTTGTATCAAATAAACCAACAAACCACAAAACGAAACCTGAAATCCCTAAACAACATATTGGCAATACATTGGTAGTAGGTATTCCACGTATTCTTCTGAGACATCTGGAATTTCAGTGATCGCTTCGAGAAGATTCTGATAAATCGTACAATTAAGTCGGAATAAGCACATCAGCTACTAAAAAAAAACAATTGTTCACTTTCTACAAAAAGATCCGATATTATCGTTAATATAACAGTCTGCATCTACTGCAATCAACTCAGACGCTTTAGATCTTCAAACGATTGGTAATGTGTCAAAAACAAATACATCAGTGTCCATCTGACAATCATCAATCAAAATCATATTCAATATGTGTTCAATTGAACTTGTCGTAGACTGGCTTAAATCTAGAACTTCAGAAACACGACCAAAATGTGTAAAAGTTTGTAGTAGACTGTATTAAATCTTGAACGTGTTAAAAACGATCAAAATTGTGTGAAAATTGTATTTTACATTGACTGCCCGACGCCGCCAATTTGCGTTCATCTAGGATTTGAAAGGAAGCCGACCTGTTAATCCGGGATTATCCTAGATTAATACACAGTTGATGGCGCATGCCGAGACATGTTCATATCAATTTCATCAAAGACTCTATATCACTTACACAAGGTACTGTGAGGCTCTCGATAGCGACGCAGTACTGAACACCTTTGGAAAATCTGACGACAGTCTGCAATTAGTATGTTTGTATGTTTCCCGGATCACAAAATAACTGGCTTGGTTTCTAGTTGGACACGACATGTCGTATGATTTTGAATTAAACGACAATGTGTTCATTCAGCATCTAACCAATGACATAGCACCCTAATGAAATATTAAACAACCAAAAACAATGATGATGTTTGAAACATGTCAACCTTCCAGAGAACAGCTGTGTTATATCGTCCCTCTCGACCTAAATCTCTATCTTATCTATGCTAATAAGATGAGCAAATGAGAAGACTCTTGGGACTTAAAAAAGGGTTGGTTTGAAATACCCTCAGTCATACCTCACCGCAAATAAAAGGTCTATTAGAGAGTGATGTTGGCTTAATAACCTCTATCAAATAGATTATTTGGTGTGTGCTGTGTTTACCTCAGAAGAGATATAGTTATGTATATTTGTTATCAGTGTCTTGTATTCATTTGGCAATGACTATAAACGTCGATGTCGAATATAATATTGTGAAAAAAACAATATCAATTCTATGGTGGTTTGTTTAGGACATGTTTAATTTTTTTAATCATGATTTTTGTTTTCTGAATTAACATTTTTCTTTATTATTTTCTATTTTGTTTGCTGAATTATGATTTAATTCTACTTATTTTCCATTTTTGTTTGTTGAATCATCATTTGTGTAACCAAAAATGATTAATTCGCAAACAAAAATGTAAATTAAGTAGAATTAAATCATAAATAAAAAAAAATTAACTTGTCCTAAACAAACCACCGTACAATTCGCCCTGAGAAGAGAGGTAGAATATTGATATAGCGTATTACAACAACCGTAAATATGATGTGTACATGTGGACTCTCTAGAGGCTATTAAGACCATTCTGTCCAGGGAAATACAAACAAAAGGGATAGAGAAAGTGACATGAATAACTAGAAGATGACAGACATTGATAGTGTTCGGGACATATGATGACAGATGGACCCAGGCTGAAATTAACATGGGAGTTTTAATTAGATACTAGTTTAATAGGATATGAATCAATCTGATTAAAATAAAGATCTACATGTTTTAATGTTTCTTTTGCGTATTTTTTTCTACTCAGATGTTAATCGTCACCTACGATCTGAAGAAATTTTCACCAACCTCATGTTCATTTTGATTGCATATGCTAAATTCTCAAAGATGTTGTTAACAGTGAATGTATCTAAGACACAGTCAAAACGTTTAATAGGCAGAGCATTTGAATTGCTGAAGTAGGGACACAAAATTTTTCGGGAGGGGGGGAGGAGGGGGGGGGCGGCGCACAGGCCATTCTTTATGTAAAATGATAACAAACTTGAAAGTGGGTGGGGACCGGGTGGGGGAGGGGGTTGGCAAAGCCGGACCAGACTGTTTTCGGACCTCTGGTTGAATCGACACTGCAACTAACCCCTACCTAGACTCTGTAAGGAGTAAGTAAAGATATGAGATTAAATTCTAGTAAACAAAAATGTCAATTCTTGACAAAAGTCTCCTTAAAATGCCATCAAAAAGATTCTTAGATATCATCCCATTATGTTTCTTTAATCCAGCAGACGTTTTAGGTTCCTCCAGCGCTCTGATTCGATCTCGCACTATCTTCTCGTTTCAAACATAGTTTTCCAGACCTCGGAACATTTCGATCTTATCATCAACTTCATTTACATGATTAGTTTGTTATTATAGTTGTTTTTTGTCATCAGATTTTTAACTCAAAACAGACACGGTTTGTCGCCGTTAGCTTCAACAACTGTCATGGCGGTTACGACATGTGGCGCACTCTAGCGGAAAATAATAACGACAAGGCGGATAATTAAGGGATAATATTTTTGTAGCGAGGGAAACGCTTTGAATCTATTGTGAGGGATGTGTTAAATAACATTTCAAGTCATTGTTAGTTTAGGGGTGGCCATGTTCTAGACACCTTTACAAATTATTTTAATTGCAAATTACTCTCTCTTTGAAGTTTATCTGAATTATGCATCGACACATTCTATTATCAAGCCTACACAGAATAATGAAATAGACACAACTTTTAAAATTGAATACGCTATCCTAGAACAAATAAACGGTTGCATATTTGCTTCTTTTGAATAGATATTGGGAATAACTTTTACATCTACTAAATGCCAAGTTTACTGGTTTGATGGGTGCGTACCATCATTTTAGCGTATTTTTAGAATTTAGTATAATATTGGTGCATCCTTGATAAGTGAATGTACGGTTCAAGTAGATTATTAAAAATATAAATATAATTTTCAATCAAAGACGAATTCCATGACAAGTCCTGTAAATAAATTGTTAATAGTAGAGATATTTAGTTTCTCTTACACTTGGTGTTTGTTTGTAAACTTTAAGAACGTAGAAGATGGTTAAAAAACGGACAGAATGTTTTATTCTAGTACCCGGATTTATAGAAAGACCCTGCTTATTAAAGATAATTGTTATAAAATATTATGTCCACCAATTGTTTGGAGATTATTATTCAGTAAACTATAACCATATTTGGAATCATTAGAGTACTTTATAGATAACTATCATATACATATTGGTAAGCGAATATGGTCCGTCAGATAAGAATACGTTTTGGTCCATTATCTCACGAAGTAGATAACAATGCTGTTTTTACCAAATATGGAAATCAGTTTCTATAACACTGAATGAATGTCCAGTGACCTTGACACCTAAGTACAGTTTTCCTACACACATCAATTCATCCTTACCGGGCCGGGGTCAATTTGAATAAAAGATTGCTCTACTAAATACACAGCGTTTCAACCATATACGGTGTAATGTAAACAAACGATATATTTTTAGCTTTCGACTAATGTAGGACAAAACCTGAGATAAAAGTAGAGTATTTATATCTCGTCTCTCTCTATATATATTTATAGTGGATTTGTTGAATTGTCGTCACATTTTCAACGATTTTATTTAATGCCAGTTGTTAAATGTTGTAAATCAACACGAGTCAGGAACAGAGACTTGGTGGTGTAAAGTATTATACCTTGCCCGAGTGATATTTGTGGAAGAGAAAACGTTTTGTGCGTTGATGTAAGGCTCACAAAGCAATACCTGAGAAAACAGGTGTACTTCTGTAATAACTTTTGTGTTGTTTTCGATGTGAAAGGGAACGAATAAATCATTTTGAGTTCAACTTTCATAATGACGGATTTCATTCACAACTTTCTTGGATGTGTTCTGAACTTCTGTGTACACCATTTCGTCGCCATTTCGATAGTTACCATAATTGTGACGTCATTTTGGTTGGTAATGCGGAAACCCCACGGAATTCCCCCTGGACCAAGCTGGACCCTTCCAATTGTAGGGGACATGTTAAGTATAGGATCTAAGACAGATAAGAGCAATGTTACACTACCATTCCGTAGACTAAGGAAGAAATACGGCGATATCTACAGTGTCTATACTGGCCCGAAGTAAGTATATTTCGCCGACAGTGGTTAGACTTATAATCACAATTCCACTTAAAAAAAAAATAGCCAACATCGTCTACTTTCAATTATCAAATGGTATGTAGTTGTACATACCTTTTGATGTTCTGCATCTTAATAGTGCAGGTTTTGCACCCAAAGTCCTTCACCTTACTGAGATAGCCAAATGACATAGGGTTTTGATGTTTAATCTCTCTTGTGTTTAGAAACTTAATAGTCATATAAAATTAGGTTTAAAGCCTTGCTATTTCCAAGTTAATGAAATAAACTGAACATTAGGCTATATCTTGCTGTAATTAGTGTTATACGTGTGGTAATAAAGCAGTATTTGTTGTAGGTTAACAATAGTTGTGAGTGGAATTGACAACATCAAGGAGTTGCTGATTAAAAATGGCGATGTCTTCTCCGACAGACCACCAACTTATCTCAATGATTATCTCAGTAAAAGAAAAGGTTAGTTTTGATTCTTTCGGGAAAAGACGGTTGGGTGAGAGGCGCGGTATGAACTCAATCAATATGTCTTGGAACAACGATTGGAAACAAATTTCCTACTCCAGACTCCAAAATTTATAGACATGATTGTAACACAATACTTATCTCCATAACTATCTCCCTTGTTGGACTTTCATTCTATTGGAACTTCACCAGTTTTTCTGTATTTGAAAACAATATGACGTTGTTCAGAATTGTTATCTTTTATATTTTAGGCTTGGTATCTACCTCAGGGTTTCATTGGAAAGAACAGAGGAAGTTTGCCGTAGATACATTACGAGAGTTTGGGTTTGGAAAACCAATATTAGAAGGGAAGATACACGCTGAGCTGGAAATTCTTGTCAATGAAATCGGAAAACATCGTGGCGAAAAATTCAATTTTTTCAACCTGATACAGTATTCAGTGGCTAATATAATAGCCTCTATTGTTTTTGGTAAACGTTTTGAATACGACGATCCAGCTTTTAACGGGTTCATTGATAGAATGAACGATACATCCGCATCTTTTTCTGGAGCATTTCTGGTGAATGTTCTTCCTATTTTAAGATTCCTCCCAGGTGATGTGTTCAGCGTTAATAAAATACACAGTAACATGGAGAAAAATCGGGAGACTCTTTTTGAACCTGCGATCGAAGAACATAAAAAGCATTTCAATCAATATGATACCGATGATTTTATCAGTAGTTATATTAAAGAAATGAAAAGGAAAACTGGCCAGAAATCCACATTTGATGGTAAATAATCCTTCCTTTTATAAGACATTTTACGAGTAGAATTAACATTAAATAACCGAACTCAATTTTATTCTATATCTCTACTCTCCGAAAATATATTTTACACAACGTTTCAACATTTTACATTAAATTTCGGAACACACGTGACTGTATTTGGCTTTTTAATATTGCTCCATTGAATTCATATACGACCACATAAACCTATTCAAAATCGACTGAATAATTTATGTTACCATATATTTTGATTTTCATATTTTTATTCTATTCTTTAATTAAATATATATATAATATAGTCGTTTACTCAAATCAATAATACTTTTTACTGAATAGACTTATAATTAAAACTGAGCGAGAATAGAATATTTTGATAATATTATGTTAATTTTGGTTTGAAATAATTTCAGATGATAATCTTAAACAGAGCATAGCAGACCTTTTTTTCGCGGGAACGGATACGACGTCAACAACTATCCTGTGGACGATTCTATATTTGCTACATCATCCTCAAGTTCACGTGAGATGTTTCCATGAAGTGCGAGATGTGGTTGGATTCGGTCGCCTGCCGTCATTAAAAGACAAAGTAAACATGCCATATATGGAGGCTGTGATCATGGAAGTGTTACGTATCACCAATATAGCTAACTTGGGAATTCCCCACTCCACTTCCACTGACGTGAAGTTTAAAGGTTACCTCATTCCCAAGGATACTATTTTAATTGCTAATCTGGATTCTGTGCTGTCGGATAACAATACATGGGGTGATGCTGAGAGTTTTCGACCAGAAAGATTTCTAGAAAATGGTAAACTTGTGCGCAGAGAAGAATGGATTCCATTTTCTACAGGTTAGCAGACAGACCCAAATCTCTACGATCTTAAAGGGGCAGATTCGCCCTACAGTTCTTAGTCTCAAAAATGGGAATGTTCTAGCCATAGAAATTTGAGCCTTCAAATCCATGTATGTCTAGAATTATCCGCGTTTGATAGTTAAAATGGCGTCTCGTCTTTTCCTGAGACTCTGCCTGATTCACAAAAGACATCTATAGAAATAGGAAGTTTCTATGAATCTCTGAAGGGATTATGCGATTTTCGTACATTCCTAGTAGTTTTGCAAAATATTTACATATTTTCAAGACTCAAAATCAACCCCCGAAATTGGCGAATCTGTTCCTTGGATGGATGTAAAGAGGGTTTCTAAACTTGTATGTGAATAGGGGACAGTGATAGTATCACCATTGTCGTTTGTGGTTCTTGCAACGTGACACAACCTAAGCGTGGGTACACTAAAATGCCTCGACAATTGGAAATAGAAAAGGAGAGGCCAATTCCGCTCTAATTGTAAACACGGTGTTATCCGTCTTCAAGAGCATAATCTAAAGTAGAGAAATAAGACGAAAAATAACATTTTATGTGTCGAAAATCATAATTTTACGCCTCTTTTTACGAATTTTCACCATTAACCATTTATTTTGCAGGAAGAAGAAACTGTCTTGGAGAATCTTTAGCCAAAATGGAATTATTTTTATTCCTGACAACTTTATTCCAAAGATTTGACATCAGGAAAGCTGTGGACACTGAACTACCGTCTTTAGAAGGAGGGTTTGGAATCACTCATGCTCCACATCGTTATGAAGTTCAAGCGTACCCACGATAGTTGAGATAATACCCATGACACGCGTAGTCCCACCGACGAAAGGAAATTTAAAAGAATTCGAACAAGTTTCTTTGTTGTTATTATTATTATTATTTATTGACAACATTTATAAAGCGCTCCTTTCACCATGACAGTGTTCAGGGGCGCTGTACAATAGATAAATCAACGAAGATTAACATATAAAATCCATATTAAAATTTGCATAGGGAACACTTCTTGCACACTTATTACTTTCATTTGCAACATTCTTAGTTCTGGTTCCTGCTATTCCAGAAAGATTCACATTCAAAAAAACATTATGGTGTCCCTATCGCAAATTCCGTTTGATTTGAAATATCATTAATGTTGGGAACACGGGCTGTATCCTGAACCAGTTTCTCGGTCGGATTTTATTGAGGTTTGTTTAAATTGTCAACATTAATTATGTAACCAATAAATCGTAGTTGTTTTAACAAATTGGTTTAACTTCAATAATAGTGTTAGTCTGATTAAACACTGGGTGAATATAAGGGATATTAGAAGTTTTAGGAAAGGGAAAACTACACAGATCGACAAAGTAGCATGAAGGCTGAAAAAATACAACAATTCAGAATACACTCTTTCTCTCTGACATTGTCTCAGACAATCCTATTTGGGGTGAATGTTCTTCCCTGTCCAAACTTTCTTATTTTAGCTTCCAATTATTGTGGGCTGCTTGTGATTATGTTGTTTGTCGTTCCCAGACATGCACGACAGTTTGCTTGAAGGTAGGCCTATTATATACAAGTCTGACTGTATCTATGAACTATACAAGATAAAATTCATCAATACATCGTGCGGTAATTACTAGCCTGAACAGTGGACACACGACTCTAATCAATAGAAAACAAGTACATGTATCCGATCAGTTGTTTATGTAAACAGTCTTCTGTAGCCATGCATACTTGATGACCTTTGACCCCAATGACCTTAGACCTATAACTGTACTGGCAATGATAAGTATGTATTTCATAAGACAGTTTTCAACACATGTCAAAGGAATTAGTACAATAAAGGCTTTCTATCAACTCTAGTTTAACTATAGACAGTATTAAGTGGAAAATGGCGTGTATTTTGGAATCGCTACACGATTATTTTAAATCGTTTGACCTCGAAGTAGTGACACGATTTGGTATAACTCATCTACGGACTATATTATGTATCGGTGTTGGAGTAGGGGTGTGGTGGGCGTTGAGGAAGCCCCGGGGAATTCCCCCTGGCCCGAAATGGACATTACCCTTACTTGGAGATCTGCTACGACTGACGAATAAAGATGATAACGGCGATATACGTCTACCAATAAGAAGGTTACGTGAGAAATATGGAGATATATTCAGTGTCTACATGGGACCGAGGTTATTTATATTTGTGAATGGTTATGAGAATATACACGAATTGTGTGTTAAAAATGGAGACATGTTTTCTAACAGACCGAATTTATTTATTTCGGAACATCTCGCCAAAGGAAGAGGTAATGCAATTATTATAATAATATTTGGTGTTTTCATTTTCAAGAATTCACGGGAGATAACTCTTTGTCAAAACGATACTTCAGACTACTGCTATTAATATGCAATTGCAGAGCTTTTATTCTGAATATCATTCATGTTGTCTACACCTTTACATATTTTACATATTTTAATTAAATTTATCATTGGCGAATCTTCCTCCTTCAACACCTTTCTATTCTAGGTATCGGATCTTCATCGGGAGAGACATGGAAAGAACAGCGGAAATTCGCACTAGAAACTTTACGCGAGTTTGGATTTGGTCGATCAGTGATGGAGGATAAAATACACGAAGAGATCGAAGTCTTCATCGACGTCATCAGACAAGAAAATGGCGCAGCATTCGATATTTCCAAAATAATTGAATTTGCTGTGTCGAATATAATTTGTAATTTAGTATTTGGTAGACGATTTGACTACTCTGACAAACTATTCCAAAAATATCTCAAAACAACCGAAGAAAATTTTGAAGCAATTGGAGCGACGGCTGTTATAAATTTCATGCCTTTTTTACGCTTTTTGCCTGGTGATTTATTCAAATTCCAACGCACGTGTCAAAATGTGGATTTCCAGTTGAACGAGCTGATTGCCCCCGTTGTTGATGAACGTATTAAGAACTATGATGATAACGACGTGAATAGTTTTATCAGTAGATATATCCTGGAAATAAAGAAAATTGAAAAATTGGGAAAACAATCAACTATTAACAGTAAGTACATTTGTATAGTCTCAGATGCCCAGACTTCTCCAGTCTACGACGAGGATATACGCGAACAAAGAAGGACTAGATGATAGAAGCTATGATTTGTCTGCAATAAAAAAAACCCCATAAAATTCGTCATATTTCTTTATCAATGGTCTCGGGCATCCAACTGCACAAATTTTCGCCCAGTATAGGTTTTTTTTATCATTCCAACAATATACTCGAGAGATTTTCCAAATGATGTTGTTCTAATCACACGGAGAACACTGACACTTGTTCCTATCGAAATAATAACCCAGAAGTCAAGAGTCTAATACACAAGGCTAATACCGAAATATGCTTATCCAATCGTAATATATACGAGTCAAGATCCAAGAAGACAAAGTCGATGAGATCAATACATAAGCCCTGGTTATTTCAAGATAAAAATGTATGCCAAAACTAGATATCCCGTGCGCTTTCCGCCAAGTTCATTTTAGACTCAGGGTGTGTAACTGGAATTAGAGGCAAGAGAATTCCTTATTCAATATAACGGTATAATTTTCTGTTTCAGGAGAACAACTCATCTTTTGTACCAACGATCTATTTTTAGCCGGAACCGAAACAACCTCCACGACTATTTTATGGGCTATCGTTTATTTCTTACATTATCCGGAAGTGTTAGGCAAGTGTTACCAGGAGATCCAGGACGTGGTGGGATCAGGCCGACTACCATCCATGAAAGATAAACCTAACATGCCATATCTAGAAGCGGTCACAACTGAGTTATTGAGGATCTGTAACATTGCTATACTTAACTTGCCACGGGCACCTGCTCATGACGTTACATTCCAGGGTTATAACATTCCACATGATGCTATTATCATTCCTAATTTAGATTCGGTGTTATCAGACGATTCAGTCTGGGGTGACGCAGGTACTTTCCGCCCTGAACGATTTCTGGATGAAAATGGAAAGTTTGTCAAACATGAACAGTTTCTGGCCTTCTCTATTGGTAAGTACCGCCTTTAAAATGGACTGTATCTGTATTATATGTATGATATCAATGTAAATGGTAGGCGGAATAGTTTGAAATATATATTTCTACTTGACACCCATTTCAGTGGCTGGGTTTTAAAAACTAAGCGCTTATAAATATTTGCTCATCGGTGTGTGCAAATATAATGTTTGAATCTGTTGCAGGTAGAAGAAACTGTCTTGGTGAATCCATGGCGAAAATGGAGTTATTTCTCTTCCTGTCCACTTTGATACAAAGATTCGACTTTAAACCAGTCAAGGGCAATAATCTACCAGGCTTTACAGGAACGTTTGGTGTAACCCATATACCTAAGAAATTCAAAGTTCACGCTATACCTAGATGAAAGAATATCGTAAGAATTACTTCTAACTTCACAATTTTGGTTTGGTGTCATCAGAGTTTGTTAAGTTGTCCATTTAGAACAAAGTTTATATAAGTTCATTGAAGGCGAACAATATCCACTGATATTTCTTACCAAGGGAAGTAACTTGTACTCGATTTTTAAACCACTATGTGGTTAATGTCGTTGAGTTCTCATATATATATTTCAATATTCACGCTGATTGTGTTTGAAATAAAAAAAAATATGCGAGTTATGAAAATAAATAGAATAGTGTGCCATATTGCCCATTTTCGCATCTTCAGAGAAAACATTAAATCTCTTGCATGTATCATTTTACACAATTTGCTAAGAGGCTTCCCAGATATGTTTGCTGGTGCTCCAGATTGTGAGTAAGAGTGAAAATTGATTTTGTTCAGTACTTCTTTGTCGACATCGTATATAATTCTAAGCACACAATCTGCAAGTTAGTTGAACACGGTAGTTCGGTATATAAGATTAAAAGCACAATAGTTTTTTGAAAACATACAAAAGTAACTTTATTAACATTGATATTATAACACTGTTAAAGTAACAAGATAAACCTGTAACAACAGACAGTTAACACGTTATATCAACAATTTATATCAGTAACAGATAGGTTATACGTTACATCAATAGTTTATGATAGTAATAGAAAGGTTACACGTTACATCAATAGTTTATGTCAGTAACAGATAGGTTACACGTTACAACAACAGTTTATGCCAGTAACACATAGGTTACACGTCACATCAACAGTTTATGTCAGTAACAGATAGGTTACACGTTACATCAACAGTTTATGTCAGTAACAGATAGGTTACACGTTACATCAACAGTTTATGTCAGTAACAGATAGGTTACACGTTACATCAACAGTTTATGTCAGTAACAGATAAGTTACACTCGTTACATCAACAGTTTATGTCAGTAACAGATAGGTTACACGTTACATCAACAGTTTATGTCAGTAACAGATAGGTTACACGTTACATCAACAGTTTATGTCAGTAACAGATAGGTTACACGTCAACATCAATTGATTGTAATATTAACGAAGTATGTAGAAACCCCGGAAAATGCCAGTTTGTCGATTTAATGTGCAATTGGCCACTAAAAAGTTATATCCCTGGTCATATGTCGGTCCACATACAAAGGTTTGGGGAGGGTGGGACGAAGGGGGAGGGGGGGGGGGGGGAGGTGGTGTCACTGTAACGGGTGAAGTTAATCAGGTAATGTCGTAATATGTCATATAAGCCAGGCTATCGGTATCATTTACAAGATAACACTTAAAATGTTTAAGTTAACGTTTTAAATTTAACATATACCAAGTAACATTTAAGCTTGCAACATGTACAAAGTGAGACTACCAATTTATAATATAACGTTTGCAATGTAATAAGTCACAATGCAGTAACGTTCAATATGCCGAGTAACACCAATAAGTAACAGTTTTAGAAATAGTAGCTTGCAACGGTTTATATTTACAATGCATCATAATATTTTCAAACCCAACCTTAACAATTACAAAGAAGCTTTTAATGTCTACTTGGTAACTTGGTAACAATTTTGGTGCTAGTAATTACTAACAATGCATCATAACAATGTGAAGTGTAACAATTACCAACAATATTAACGTTTGATATTTACCGAGTAACACCCAAACTCGACCATAAAATGGATTGCCCCCTCCCCCTAAAATAAAATTCTGACAACCGACAAATTCAAGATTTATAGACACAGCTTTATGGAACAACAATCACTGGTTTAAGTGTTTCCCCCGTCGTCCTCAGGCACATAATGACGAACGACGGTGAAAAACGTTAACGTTGCATAAAACGTTAACCAGTGATTGTTGTTCATAAAGCTGTGACTATATATCGTACCCACAATTGCTAAATGCCATTCAAAGACTAAATTCCAGATTGTTACAGATACTAAGTAAAATCTACAGTGTATCAACAATTTGCAATTACCAGTAACAGAAACGTTTCATATTCACTAATAACACCAATTGGTTACATTTTCTGGTACTAAATCTCGTAATATTTTTAATGTTTGATAGTAGCAACGTGTATCAATTAATAAAATAACATTTAATGTTTAGAACATAACACCAGTTAGTAACGTTTTCGGTACTGGTAACTTGTGACATTTACAATGTCTCATAATATCTGAATATTTGCAACGAACTTGTAGCAAATACCATGTAACGTAGGAGGCGTGCGTCTATGACAGCTCCACTGAGTTGACGCATTTTGAATTTCAGCCTCAGAAGTTGTTCAATGCAAATAAATGAGGTATGGTGTACAAGGATGTTCCGTGCACGATCATTGAAAGTAAATGAAGCAAATCGTGTCCCCGTTGTACCTCGTCAATTCGCTTCTGTTATTTCTACTGTAACAATACTATGCACAACACCCCTTGTACCATACACATTGCCGTCCATTTACATTAATAATTATGTAATACGTAAGCGTTTAACAAAATGTGACTAAAACATAAAAACAATCCTTGTGCTAGTAATAATAGTAACTATCAAGCAATGTAAGAACAATGAGCAAAGCACCATGGAATTGTAGCTCAATTAAATACACGGTTACACAATGGATTAATAGTAACATTGAAAAGGAACAATTTACATTAGCCAAATAACAAAAACCTGGTTAAGTTAACCCGTGACCAGTTTCACTGCACAGTAACATGTAACAACTGGAAAAATAGTAACCTGGTAAAGGTAACCTGTAAATAATAACCGGTAATAAATAGTAACAGTGTTCGAAATAGCAGTAACCATGTAACAGTAATCTGCCAATAAGAGCAAGTAACAGTAACGAGAGATAGTAAAAAAGATTTTCTAAATTTCTTCTATGTATCGGAGACATTGATTGCATCAATTTGTACCATTCCATTTTTCTGATGTCTGTGCTTCTTGTAATTCCACTAAAACAAAGGGTTTGATGACGTTAATAATCGCGAAGCGCCTTATCTGCTAAAGCGAATTGATCAGTGTCCCCGAAACATACAAAATGTAGAAATACCTCTATACAATCCCTTTAACCCAGTTGAGGAAACCTGTTAACAGTAATTAAAACACTAGCCAATAGCATGAATAACAGTTACAATTAACAGTTCTTGGATTACAAAATCATTTGGAATTAATTCACAGGAATGATACAAAAACATGCATCACATTTGTAGAGATCACAACAGGAAACTTGGATAGGCCGTACATGTATGCGTTCATATATTCAATATCGTGTGCATGGATTGGATTGTATTTGGATATAAACGGAAGCCTTCATATCAAAGCGCGCAAGCGTTGGAATATAAAGTAAAAATAGGTCACTCGCAGGAATGCGTGTGCTTTATCTTCTTTTCCCATTTCCCTTTAAAAACACTTAATTCATCAGCTGTCAATTCCAATAATGTAACACTTCAATCGCAATTATATATATAATTGCATATATTTGCTGTTTAAGAGTTCCTTCTCTTTTGCTCACAATATATAATACATTTTCTTTTTATCAGAACACATTTACATTCGTTGCTGTTGATTACATTTCACATGCAGTTTTCTTAACTCGTACAAAACAAAATTCACTAGTTTTGTTCATCATTTTGCATTTTTAGCTAGGATATCAGAGGCAAAAGTCATAAAATCTGAAAAAGAGAAATAAATTGTGCTTTTAATGATGAGTTATGTTATTTTCATTTATGAAAATGTAAATGCTAATACTTATATGAATAGAAAGTAGAGGTGTTCTAATGACTTGGAAAAATACAAGTTTGTCTCCCATGTCTATAATTAATTCATAATTAGCTAGATTAGAAGAGAATTACCAACAGAATTGCAGTGAGTGACCGATTAAGAAAGGTCAAAAAGTCTTTTTTGTTGATCCAGACTGTACATACATGGACATTTATGATTGGTTAAAACTCTTAATTATATGCAATAAGAACATTATCATATGATTAAGAATACATGATAATTCATTAGAAACACCAATTAATCAAATAGTTTGCTTAATTTGACACTAAAAAATTCGGAAAACCATCTTTAACATTCAATTGACATAACAATTCTAATAAGAACAATCATCACAGATGGATATCGATAGCGATAAATAAACGAAATGTGTGTTAGCAATTCAGTTCCTGTTAAATTTTAATAAAATTTTTAAAGAAAACCCCTAAAACAAGAAAATAATCCTGTTTGACTAGACTTTCCTTTATAATTTGTTCAAATGAACAGCAGATTTTATTTCAACAATCCTACAAATATTTCCTTTTATCTGAATATTGAAGAGATTGTAAAATGGTTTTCTATATATTTTATGTAATAGCATCAATTTGCACCAATCAGATATCTGTGGTTCCTGCAATTAACATAAAACTAAGTCTTTGATGACGTCACTAATCATAAAGGGCCTTAAGTGATAAAGGTATTTTGCGATTAGTGATGTCATAAAACGCGTAGTTTTAGTGGAATTGCAGGAGTGATAGAACGTCTGATTAAATATTGGAATGGTGCAAATTGATGCTATCAGTGTCCCCAATACACATATCAAGTTAGAAAATCTCTTTACAATCCCTTTAACTGAGAAGATTTTTCTTTAGGGAGATTGCAAACTTCAGGTACACTCATTGAGACATTAAGACATATCTACAACCTTGACATCTGCTAACACAATATATTTATAGTAACAACTTCAGTATAGAATGGAGTATTACGTCTTTCTTGTCAACTTTTTATTCGTCCAGTGAAGAAATGAACACCACCTAATACCATCCTTTAAGTAAATGTGTTTATGTTTGGAATTGAATGATGCCCATATATATCATTGCTTGATAATATTTCTTCAAACGTGATACCTGTTATCATCGTCTATTTATAGTAACAACTGTATGACTGATATACATTACTTACCATCGTAGTTCACCATGCCATCTCCATCTACATCAGCCTCTCTAATCATCTCATCAACTTCCTTGTCAGATAGAGTCTCTCCCAGATTAGACATGACAAATCTCAATTCATTAGAACTAATATATCCATTACCGTCTTTATCAAACACACGGAATGCTTCGCGGAGCTCTTCCTCACTATCAGCTTTCTTTAACTTCCGGCACATCATCTGAAGAAACTCTTCAAAATCTACCGTACCATTACCTGTAAAGTTAAAATTGCCTGTTGAATTATTCGTGTCTTTTTCAAGGTTTTCGCAAAGTTCATCTTGCATAGCTTATAGGTTTATTTAGTTTGCTATAGGGTAGGATATAGGTTTATCTAGATTGAGTTTATTTAACGTGCTATAGAGTAGGATATAGGTTTATCTAGATTGAGTTTATCTAACGTGCTATAGGGTAGGATATAGGTTTATCTAGATTGAGTTTATTTAACGTGCTATAGAGTAGGATATAGGTTTATCTAGATTGAGTTTATTTAACGTGCTATAGAGTAGGATATAGGTTTATCTAGATTGAGTTTATTTAACGTGCTATATGGTAGGATATAGGTTTATCTAGATTGAGTTTATTTAACGTGCTATAGAGTAGGATATAGGTTTATCTAGATTGAGTTTATCTAACTTGCTATAGAGTAGGATATAGGTTATCTAGATTTATATAGGCTAGGCTATAGGTTACTTTAGCTTGCTATTTGGTAGGATATAGGTTTATCTAGATTGAGTTTATCAAACTTGCTATTGGGTAGGATATAGGTTTATCTAGATTTATATAGGCTACGCTATAGGTTACTTTAGCTTGCTTTGGGTAGGATATAGGTGAATCTAGCTTTATATAGGGAAGGATAAAGGTTACTCTAGCTTGCTGTTCTGTAGGATATAGATCTATCTAGATTGCCATAGAATGGGTTATGGGTTTATCTAGCTTGCTATTGGGAAGGATATGGGTTTATCTAGATTGTTACTCTAGCTTGCTGTAAGGCAGAATATGAGTTTATAGATTGTTACTCTAGCTTGCTGTAAGGCAGGCGATAGGTTTATCTTGATTGTTCATCTAGATAACTATAGAGAAAGATAAGGACATATCTTGTTTTTAAATCTCACGTTCTGTAATTTAAAACCTATTGATTTGATACTGTTTTAATGGATGGCTATCAAATACCGAGTGTAAAGTTGGTTGTCTTTCCACAATAATAATCATCCACTACCTATTAACAGTATTTCGTAATATTTATTAAGTATTTTGGACCAATTGGACCCACACAAATAATGAAATTTAGCGAAAATCTAAGTAGAAATTTATATAGCAATGGTAGGAAAAGTACATTTCCGATTCACATTTTATAAACATAACCTTACAATGATTATTTGATACAGCGGAAATTGGAGACAAAAATTCCCGTAAGCTAAATTATAGATAACCACTTCATAATTATTTCAAATTACTATGTATCTTATATAACATCTGTAGGTTGAGAATTTCAAGGGAAAACATCTAAACATTTGCAACTATTATGTGCAATTTCTCATGTAAATGCAGATTTAGATCTTTTGTTTCATATTTTCCCTGTGGGCTTCTACATCCCCATCTATGACCTGAGTGGATCATTTGAACATTGTTAAGCTAAATTTGGACCTGATTGCTCCATTATGTTACCCATACAAAAAGCAAAGTAAAAATTATGCTTATTGCTTCCACACAACTTTCATCGTGCTGAGTAATTGATTGGTTCAGAGTTGAAATGACCCACAATGCTTGGTACATAACGATGTTGTCAGATCATAAATGACAAGTGAAGTCATTAAAGCAATAAACGTTTAGATCTGCATTGTAGTCGCATAACGATACACATGCAAAGGTTCGAAAATCCTTTTGCATCGCTTTACAAATGTTTGTTTTATCGGCTATTTTGTAGCAGTTTTTATAATATGAGAATTCCTCAATATAGAGAAATACTTGATGAGTTCAATGTGATAAGAAACATTCAATAGCGGCTTAATGCTGGAAACTAGAGACAGATCTATACAGTTGAACTGATTTAAGATGACAGTCAGATTGGGCTGGAGGAAATTAGAATAAACAGAAAGTTCTATCAAGAATTATTCCGAATATTACATCAGAAGTTTCCACTTGATTAATTTCTAAAAAGAAAAGTGACAGCTGGACGCAGCCTTCAAATTATACAAATCACTCTTAATACGCATGGTCTGAAACTATATTAATGGAATTTGTCTCTCTAAAGCAATTTTTATGGAAGCGAATTGGTAAATGGTTGACAAATGCGCAAAGTGTCAACAAGATTTTCATATCTTACTTCGTGAGCGCATAGAGCCCAAGTCTGAAAACTGCACTGAAATTCGCCAAAATAACCACTGTGGACTGTGATAGTTATCACTGGCAAAGCAGAGGTAAACTTTTCCAGAACACCTAGTACCACTCTGACTTAATAAACTAGTTCATCGGGCTTCTCAGTCCGCCGCTGTACATACCGAATATTATTTAATGGAATATATATTATATATATATAATGGTATATAATTATTCTATTGCTTATATTGTTATATGAATTGATTTACCATCAGCGTCCACCTCGTTGATCATATCCTGTAGCTCCTGGTCAGACGGCTCTTGGCCAAGAGATCTCATCACAGTAGCTAGCTCACCAGACGTTATAGTCCCGTCTCCATCTTTGTCAAATAGCGAAAACGCTTCTTTATAATCTGAAATATATGAAATGGAATGCAGATGTAAGTCATTTTGTAGCTTATTATGAAGACAGGAAACTATACAGAGTACAGGTATTAAGCAGGATAGTGATATGAACCTACATTTTTTTATTTCATATTTGTCAAAAGATCTTTCATATGAATTAAGATGTTGAGTGTATGAGGTACCATGATATGACTTGTATATTTGTTTATGGCATCACATTTTATGTTGTACGTTCAGATTCATCTGCACGATACCATTTAACGATACCTCAACATGACGACGACGGGGGAAACACGTCGAAACGTTGCATAAAACTTTAACCAGTGATTGTTGTTAAATAAAGCTGTGTCTATATATCGTACTCACAATTGCTAAATGTCATTCAAAGACTTGATACCTCAACAGTTGAAAATGAAGATTTAGAGCCCCTGTTGGGATCAAATTATATTGAACGTTTTCATTTGGTTAAAGAAATGTTCATTCATTTTCTTCTCCTACATTACAAGTCAGATTAGCAGTAAGAATCAATGAAGGTTAGAATGAAAGTTGGGAAGTTTATTAAATTATATCGTTTATACCATAGGGAAATAGGAGACTATCTAATAGTCTAACTCTATTTGCAGTTACCTTCTACAACTTTAATTAAATTTCTCACAAAACTCATATCGATCACTCGTTCTTCAGACTGCTGCGCAATTTTCTCACTTGAATTTCTTTCATGATATATAACTCGCCTTGGTGATACGAACAGAAAGTTTTTCGTATTGCATTGATGATTAATAAAGGTAGAAAACACAGGAAATCGATGTATAACATATTATAATGCATGTAATGAATGTAATGAATGTAATGAATGTAATTAAAATTAGACCAAACTTTCGCTTAGTTTCTTTATTAACTTTTATTTTTTAATTTAGCCTCTTGAACATTCGTCAGTTTGGTGACGCCGCCAGCCAAACTAATTACTGCCCTCTCCAACGCATTGATTTTGTGACGCGAACAGGTGCATTTAGTGTCTGATGCTTCGCGGAATATACTTTCTGTTCGCGTCACAAAATCCCATCGTAGGGAGCGCCGAAATTTGAATTTAATAAAAACCGGAACGCAAGTTTGATCAGATGCTAAGGGAAACTGTCCCCTATCGAAATTCTTTAATAATAACTTGCCTGAATGATACGTCAAAAAAGTTTCATGTTCTGCATTAATGAAAGTAAATATAGCTCTCCTTGAGGTATTATTAACATATTATGGAAAGGAAATGTAAACCTCAATCGTATTCCCTAGGTGATATTGAACTTGTCTTAATGATGCTTACAGAAAGTTTAAAGTATGGTCTCGTAAGGTAGCAAACTTAAAAATATATAGATACGCCAGTGCATAGATAGATATTGCCAGTGCAAACTGTCCGAAGTAACTTATCAGAGAGGGGCACAAGCAAATTTAAAGTATTGCATTGTTCACAACAGAGTGGGGTGTTATGTTTTTTTTAAAACAAACATGCGGAACCACATAATCACGAGGAAAATCAGTTATTAATATTTACTACCAATAATTCGCCATTAGGTTTTGGACCTACGTCGGCGCACAAGGCAAATAAATGTAACTTCAGGTATTTGTCAAAACCATCAATTAATCCTTCTGAATTTTTCTTAAATTTGAGAATTCTTTCTTTATTATTTTAATCGAAAAATAGCTGAATTTAGATTGTCGGATTTCAATAATGTTAATTTGATGGAGCTAGAGAAACAAGACAAATATGTTGCTTTTTCTTTCTACTTTAATATCTCCTACTTCTGTGTATGACAAAGATCCCTCGTTGACCATTGCACAGTTCGTCACAAAATAGTGTATCTACACAAATGTCGAGAGCGAGGCCAAAATGAGAAGTGTCTCTTCCTGTGGAGGCTCAAAGAGCCGAAGCCCCTTGAGGTCGGGGACTAGAGACTCCCAGAAGCAAACGGATCTCAGATGGCCTGAAATGAATTTGGATCGTTTCGAGGGCTTAATATTCACTTCAAAATAAGACCTTTCACATGCCACAGGTAGGCGCCATGGTCCAATGGGTTTCCCCCTAAATACGTTACTGAGAATAGTAAATCAAATGTACTGAAATATACGTTTTAAATATTATAAGATTTGAACGACATTTAGAAGTGAAGAGTAGATATAACAAAAAAACAGAAGGGAAGTTATACCATAATATACCCCTTGTGTTTTATGTTATATGTTTTAAATATTAATAAATAAGTAAATTGACGAGGTTTGTCAGACGAGGTTCGTCAAAGAGTGCGTGTTTTAAAGTTCACCTGCTTGATCATAAAATCAATGAGTTAGTTCGAGTTCTTTTCATCAATATTTCTGAATTAAATAATAATAATTACTATATTTACTAATAATGTGTGGACTAATGAGCTCATGACGTTTACAATTCAATGCCTTCCTCGAAACACTGCAAAGGAAGATAGTCCAGAGTTTTCGAATAATGAAAAAATGTAATTAATATGAAATATAAAATAAAAGACGAACAATATGTGCAATTTTATAAGAAGAATTAGCGACTTTCCTCTTAAAGCGGGGTAGATGCGCCATTTTGGTTTTGATTTGAGTCTTGAAAATTCCTTCAAAAATATCTAAAACTGAGATTTTCTTTTCCTTTTTCTATAGTTGTCTTTCCTATATTATGGCAGTGTCTCAAAAACGACGACTCGTCTTTTTCACTTTCAAACGCGAATAATTAGGATTTGAAGGGTCAGATTTCGATGCTGAGCTAAAAAATATTACCGTTTCTGAGACTAAGGTACGATTGATCAAAAATGGCGAATTCGTCCCTTTAAGAATTTTGACTTTCCAGTTCAGCTCCAACTATTACTTCATGACTCCATAAGTCTCCATTTTGTTTTGCATGTACTTTCAATTGACCTGGACTCGTAAAAAAAAAATATTTTGAAAAAATATGCGCAAGCTACACAGTTTTCATATCAGCACATTTGTCGCTATCGGCACAGAACTGGATATGAATTAATTCATTGTAACCTAATATACCAATGTCTCGGGGTGAAGATCAAATAACTGCCCAGTTGATATAAATATTTAAATACGGTAGAAATTGAAACACAGATATCATTGTTTGGAAAGGATGTGTTCACCAGATTCTTGGGTTGTATCGGAAATGAGCTCAGTGTAAATCAGGAAGCTAATATATATATATATATATGACTGAATGACCACCGAGGAAAGATCAAGTTGATGGTATTTGACCAGTTACATATAAAAGACGAAGTTCTTTGGCATATTAACATAATATTAATATTGTCATTTAATGTATGCTTTTCTTGATGTACACTTAAATCTTTTAGATTGCTTGTTTTATCCACCTCTTTATCCTGCTATTATTTCGTCACCTCTCGTCCAAGAACATTTTATTACAGGGGCAGTATACAAACTTTTAATTGTCAAAAACATAAAAAATTATACCTGAAAATATATCTAAAATGCTATTTATATCTATGTATCTATTTGATCAAACGGAATTTGTTTTGTTAGGGTTTATTCAAAACGAGGGTAGTGTTCCTTTAAACAGCTTAAACAAGTTTTGGTGTCAATTCCATTTAAAACTACGATAAATATCAGATGAGAATGTTTATATTATTCAGTTAATTTAAAGAACAAACACCATGATATAACCAGACATTCCGAGTTATTGACGCCGAAATTGATTCAAGCTGAATTAAATCATCACTCAGATAATTCAGTCTGTCAAAAAGCTTTTTATATAAAATATAGACCAGGATAGACAGAGTGAAGTTTTAAATAAATAAATCAGACTGGGAAATATTGATGTTTTTAACACACAATCCTTCAATAGAATATAATACTGGCTTAATTTATAAATTGACCAAATTTCTCGGAATCGTGGCTGGTTTAACGTGATAGTTGCCTACATGTGGACGCATATATTTCAAATTTGCTCGAAAATATTGAGGGTTTTTTTTACACAAAAATCGAAAGTAGAATATTATAACAAATTTCTGTGAATCGTAGCTGCTTGAACGTGATAGTTGCCTACATATTTCCGTTCACATCAGCTGATTTCGATCAGATTTGTTTCTGCTAGTGTTAACGTGTTACTGTTAGTTGTATGGATAAGTAAACTGTTACAGAATCACCAGTATGTTAATAAACAAGATGAAAACAGTAGCGGATCAAAACTGTCCAAAACGGTCTTGGTCGTGTGGAAGTTTCCTCATCTCGTCCATAATCTGGACCTTTCGATTAAATCGTCTGAAAACCGTTTACTTTCGACAATTCTCGCGCGCAGAACGGTCGACATTGGCAGCGGGGTACTTGCCCGTACTTTCGCATACTTTTGCCCCTCAATCTTGTCGATATCTCCAAGAATTTACGCAATTCATAACCACACCCCCCTCCCTTCCTGGCTCCTGCCATGGTCCATTGGTCGGGTCTCTATCGGTTAGAAACAAGGGGCAACAACCGGGTCGATCAAAAAAAATTCTTTGGACAATCTAATCAAGATTAGGCAGATAGGAAAAAAGTAGCCTGTCACTTCTTCGATTTTGATACTAGACTCTCGGAGGACCCAGCCGATCGCACCTTTTCCCCTAAGGTGTTGTTCGGTGGTACTCTCAGGTTCCATGTTTTCGCAAAAATGCAACCAACCAAAAACAATGAGACCATGATAATAGTTGGTGATATTACTATTAGTCAGCAGGTGAAATGGGGGTATTAATCAGCAAGCATGTTACTCGGTTAACCAAATATATGAAACGAACGTCGAGTTGACAAAACCAGACCATAAAAGTGGCATCAGGTATTCGTGTTACTCCACACCCTACCGAAATGAATCCAATAACGGTTAGACAGACTATTGGTTTTTCTTAGTAAATTACACCCTTAATTTCTATTCAATATTACTAACATTTGTTGCTAGGCAACCGGTAAATACTGCCTCATTAATTGCAGCTTAAAGGAATGTTTTCTATTTTCTTCATTCTCCTGATCTGAACGGTTTACTTTTAGATGAGTTTTGGGAGACGGAATGAGAAGAGAATTACTGTCTGAAATGAGAGTTAAAACTACAATTTAGCAGCACAAACACATTGACTTTCATAGATGGTTCCAGAAGTGGAGTCTAACTGACTTTTAGTCAAACAGATATTTTTGCTCATCCGGGTACTGTCAAAACAGTATATTTTCAAGGGTTTAAAAGGCAGCACATTTATAGGGTTTGACTGATCCCTCATATTGTTTATTGTAAATAAACCATGTTGCATAACATTCTTTTCATGTTCATATTCAATTGGGGGATTAGTAAAACCCTCTAAATGTTTTGCATTTATACCCTTAAAAGTTTAAACTATAACGGACTGGGTGTGTTTTGACAGTACCCGGATGAGCAAAAATATATGTGTTTGACTAATTCATGATATGGGTATCTTATATGGTGATGCGTCCTTTCGTTGACAACATCGGGACACCTTTGCACATGTGGTACTAAAGTATGTCCCTGGACCTCATTCAAAATTAACTCAGCCAAAGTCTTTTCATATTCATTGTGGATCTTTTAATGCCAATTAGGCGCACTGTGTTCTTTTAAGATTATTGTGCAGTGATTACAAATCACGTTGGATACAGGTATTTGATTGGGAGTTATTCGTTTATTTCTAAAAATTCCAACGGACCGACCATAGATGAGCATACAAGTATACTAATAATGATAAAAGATACATTCCTACGTTCCACGACAATAAGTATTTCACAGGTTACTGGAACAAAGCCCCAAACATTTTACCAAGAGGAAGAAAGACACAGCTCTAAATGAAGCTTCATTGTCAAGAGAGAAAGTAGCCCCACACGGCACCACCCCACAGTACAGTCGAGGGTACGCTTCTCCTTTCTTGGACAAATAGACTTAGACAAAGTGTTACTCATTAATAGTTCAGCTTTGTTTCCAAACAAATTTGGCTTTGCATGGTGCAACGTCTCAAAAACTTACATGAGACTTTCTTTTTCTGGCCCTTACCGTTATAATATTACATCTCTAAACCATGTACGGGGCCCATCGAGCACTACCTTCGGGAAAGATCTGGTGCGATCTCGTCACTCCTCCGAGTATCTGGTACCGTAAAAGTAATAGGCTACTTTTTTCCGAGGTCCATATCAAACATAAAAAATATTATTACGTGTCGGGAAAACAACACAAATTACTTGATATCACGTGGGTAGCTACTCATGGACATTTTTCATCTTTCAAGGGAAATAACTCGTCGTTTATTTCACGAAAGTTTATGGTGATGGTGGATCATAAAATGTTTCAGGTTTAACAGAATTTGCATGTCCCCGCTATGGAAATTGTGAAACAGGAACTGATGATTGGCATGTTATTGAGATATTTCGTTCAACTTGGCAGTTTTGATTGTGTTTATAGTGAATTTTAGGCTAATTTGTGTTGAAATTATAGATCAATCAAAGCTGGACTTCAATGGTTCAATGGTTGGTCCACCTACACGAGTCAGAATCAAGAAAATAAAATTTCCAAAATGAATTTCAAGGGGAAATCCGGTTTTGTTTTGTAGGTCGAAAAACATTTTTGCTCAAATTTGTGAAATCTATACACCAAAATCTAGAGAAATGTGTCTCTTTACTTATCTGAAAGTTTTAACAACAACTAAAAAATCCAGACTTAGCTTTTCAACCCCAAATCTATATTAAAAGTTTACGTAAGGTTTTAAGTTCGTTTTGTGTTTTGGGAGCTGTTCGAAAACTACTGTATTAATGCAATTGATCAGGGATACTGAAAGGGGTAATAGAAAGAAAACGGTTGACAACTCGTCTGGGTGTTCAGATCAGAGCCAGGTTTACGTCCGATGAGAGGGGGTGAGGGTGCGAAATATCTGAGGTTTTGCCCGAAAAACTTGCTTTCGGTGTTGCGACGGGGGAGGAGGGAGGGCGGCTGACCCCTCTGCCCCCCCCCCCCCTTTTGCACCACTTCTGGTTCAGTTTTAAAAGCGTTCTCCTCTAGCCAATCATCATATTATTACATTCGAATCCTTATAAGTTATATCGTAAAGTAGATCAATGCACGCGTAACTTACCAGCTTCTTCCTCTCGTGATAAAACAAGTGTTTGGTCCTCACTCTGAAATATAAAAATATTGTTGTATATAAACATTTAATTCTACAGCTGATTTTCGGTGGAATTTCAGCATTTTCAAAAGAAAATTGACCTACGTAAATATTAAACATTATTAGATGCATAGACATAAGATATAAAACGTATGCTGAGGCTACCGAGTTATTAATAACTATGCGGACTTACAGATGACCAATTGACAAACGTAAATCCCACATGAATATTATTATATGTGGACTCACTGAAAGGGATTACAAGTTGATAAACCTAAATACCAAGTGAATATTATTAGCTATATTGACTAAATGGATTCTTTGTTGACATATTTCAATACCTATATTATAACCTATGTGGACTCTCTGTTCTCTGTTCAGGATGCTAAATTAACTAGTACGTGTACTTACCATAATAAAATATCAAATTAAGTATTTTCCTTGACAAACTGAGTTTTGTTTGTAGACATGACAACAATTGGTTGTTACTGGTATATTGTTCACACAACTTTATTACACTGAAAAATATAACAAACCTTTTGTTAAAATGATAGTGTGGGTCGTTTTTTTTTTTTTTAAATATTTACATTTATCATATCAGTCCTGTTTCAAAACGCTATATCTTTTAATAACTTGGGTAAGGCATCCTTAATACTCATTAATTTTAGAGTTTTTTTTTATCAGATAACGAACAGAGACAACTCTTGAATGCATGAATATGCAAAAATCTTCCAATTGCATAGACTAGGACTTCTCAGTGAACCGCGACCGGATCAAATACCCTGATGGGACAAAAAGATCACGACTTATTTTGATAGAAGTACACCAGTTTAAAAATAACTATTTATAACTCGTGTCTCCATTTAGTACATATATTTATCAATTTCTGTCATTGTTTTGTAACATTCATTACGTTACTTAATGTTAAATCCAAAAAGCATTTCACCAAAACGTTAACTTATTAATTTTAACGGATATAAGACTATTAAATAGATATTGTAAAAAAGAACAAGTACATCGACACATATAGCCACTTTAAGCTTGAAGCTCTTCACTTCTTAAGTTATTTGGCTTCTTTTGATTATAAACTGCTGGTGAGTGGGTCACTGAGAACGATAAAGATCAATACATGAGCCTGTTTTTATACTTGACTCTACTGCCCGAGAAAATCTTCTATTTATTCCAGCACGGAATATAATCCGAGGCTTTCTTAAATTCACATCAATTCCTTTTTTTATTAATATTTTTACTCATTATTCTAATATAGCTCGAAATATTTTGACTTTAGTTTGACAAGTTGTGGAAGTAGATGTCTGTCCGATCATCAAAATCAGAAATATTTCTCCCCCTTACAATCCAATAAAGTCTGCGCGTCATGCAAGCAATTCCATTCGTATTGAGGTGTGTCATTGCTAGAGGAATGGCATTGAAGTTCCATCACGTGGTTTACGAGAAATCATCACTTCATATGGCCTTTAACACCTGTCTTGAAATATCTAATGAACTAGCAGTCCAACATCCGTTAATTCTAAAAATATACATGCAATGTCATCGATGGAAGGTAAATTACGCTAATTCCTTTCCATCCTTTACTATGTATTATATTCCTTGATATTGGCATAAAAGTAAGAGTTGTAAACGTCGTGAAGCCATCGTAGCAAATTCGCTCTTTAAGGCCATTAAGTGAACTAGTAAATCGCCAACTATAATACGTATACTAATACGGTAATACGGTGAGTACTTGTCGTGACCACGTGACCACCTCAATGAAACTCATTGGCCCAAAAGCATAATGTCACATGTTCAAGTCTCAAATGATAAGATGTTTAGTTGAATTGGTAAAAAAAAAACAACCAGAATTGATGAAGTCGCTTTTTGAACTGGTTTTAGTTGGCCAAGCGAGGATAGGGAGTTCGGACTACATCGAAGCCATCAAAGATAAAAAAAAGAAGTCAAGAAATAATGTGAGATGAGGAAAGCCTTGGGGAATACTTGAGAGTTAAATACATCAGTAATATTTCTCAGTCTTTAACAAGCGCCCAAGTTTGACAGATTACTTTGAGATAAATAAAATTGTCACCTGTAGCTTATGCTGACCATTGCAATTCGATCTGTTTTGTTGATCGTCTATTTTGATATATTTGTCAAAAGACGTACAAAGTGTTAGCATGTAAATTATAAGCGATTATTGACAAAATAAAATGAGATAAAAATTAAAGGTGGAATGTCTGCCAGTTTCATAAAAAAAACTACTGAAATTACGACTGTCTCCTAAAGATGGGTTTCCTTATTTCTTTAGTGTTAAATTAAGCAAAGTATTTGATTAATTGGTGTTTCTAATGAATTATAATGTATTCTTAATCATATCCTTATGTTCTTATTGCATATAATTAAGAGTTTTAACCATAAATGCCCACGTATGTACAGTCTGGATAAACAAAAAAAGGCCTTTTGACCTTTCTTGAGCGGTCACCCATTGGAATTCTACTTGTAATTCTCTTCTAATTTCGCTCATTATGAATTTATTTTGGACATGTGAGAAAAACTGGTATTTTTCATTTGAACACCTCTACGTTCTATTCATATAAGTATTAGCATTTTCATTTTCATAAATGAAAATAAGGGAACCCATCTTTAATGTCAATAGAAGTAGTAATCTTAGTTTTTATTGAGCTTCATTGGATATTTCGAAATATACGAAGACAATCTGCACATTGTCCTACTTTAAATGAAGTTCTTCCTTCCTGTTTCTGATTCGCTATAGAAGACGGACAATTGTTTTATTTCCAGTATTGAGAACAAGTAGAAATCGGTACAAGCAAGACAATTCCGTCGTTAATAAAAATTTCGTCCAAAGTATGGCAAAATCGAGAGTAAACGTTTTATAGTAGTGGACTCCTTCCAAGAGTACCATCAGGTATTTCGAAATGAGTAAGCATGACCTGCTTCGCGCGCAACACCCTTTACTACTATATAAGTAAACATCATAAGATACAGGTTCGTTTATCCTAAATATTTTGTATTTCAATTATGTAATAGTTAGATTATATCAACAATAGTTTTGTTATTAAGAAGGGGTCTGGTGGAGAGAATCGACTTATATGATCTAATTTACTAACAACCTAACGCCTAGCTGTCTGTCAGAATGTCACGTGATTGAGAACTTAGGTTCAAAATATTATTTTATCACCTCTCTCACCAATACAACAGTACGGTCTCAACGATCAATTAGAGGCAATCCAAAATCAAGACACAAACAACACAGTATATTTCTGTTGGAGAAAAATTTTAAATTAATTGTATCAAAGGCAACCATTTCAGATCATTTGTTGAAGATTTGGTTGATTTAGAATCTGATTATTTTTGTAAAGTACGTCGCTATTATACAAGTATTCTGTTTACGGACTGTAACGCAGTCGCTTACAACGTTAGGATCGTTTTGTCGCGTCATTTGCTAGGTTACGCCAAACAAATAGTTGTTGAGGGTTCTAATCTTGGTTGTTGTATGAAAGTCAAGTGAACTTGAATAAGTCCTAATTATTTCAGTCGATCAGATCGATCAATGCCAAGAGGTTTGGTCAAGCACCAGCTGGTTAACAGGATCATCGTGAACCTAAGTTGTTATTTTTGTTATTTCAGTCTTTCTTTTCTTTTGAAGGTTGATCTGAAAACTAATTATTTTAGTAAAGAACATTGTTAATAGACTGAGGTCTTCATCTAAAGAACTCTCACTACCAGCTGCCACTATAACTACTGCAAGATACCAGTACTATACAAACTTTTTATATACATATATTTCAAAGGGACAGTAGCGCCATTTTTTTTCTCAGAAACGAGAATTTTTAGCCAAGCCAATCAGTAATGGTGTTTACAGCCCCACCGTCGAATTTTGGGCCTTCAAATCCATGTGTGTCCAGAACTATCCGCGTTTGAAAGTCAAAAAGACGAGTCGTATTTTCTTAAGACGCTCCTGTATATAGAAAAGACACATATAGGAATATAAATTCTTAGTTTGAGATATTTTTGAAGGAATTACGCGATTTTCATACATCTATTCAAGACTCAAATTCATTCCCTAAAATGGCGCAACTATCCCTTTAATATGACAAACCACTTTGCTTCAAGCTTACTAAAAGTACGGACATATATTTTCTTCAAGCTCACATATACAACTTAAGTAACAAAAAAAGATTCCTGATTGGACGTTTGACAAGCTCAAATTATCTGCGAATAGGATTATCACACATAGTCCACATTAGTGTTTGAATGCTAATCTATAAATCCGCTGTATAAGAATTACAAATATTTTCCTCAAGCCTAAATATTATATAGCGTCTATTATATAGCTTAACTTAACAAAAAACCACAAGTGTTTGGAAGTTTGACAAGTTCATCCTCAAATTATCTGCGAATATAATTATCACACATAGTCCACAAAGGTTGCAATGAATTTGCGAATGCAATATTTTAAAGATGCGTGCATGCTAATCTAGAGTCCCACTGTGCAACACTGGTATAACTTGAGGCAGCACCTGAGGTATTTTATCCCAGTTTAATTTCCTGGGTTGGAAGAGCTGACATGAAAAAAATTAGTATATAGAACATTACGTCAAACATCTTCACAATGACAAGTTATAACGATACTTATATCTTCGTTATAGCTTGAAATTGTAAAGATTGTGCGTTTCAGATTGTGCACTTTATAAAGATATCTTTAAGATGCCTAATTATACGTTAGACAGCGTGTATCAACTATTACCTGTGGCTCAACTATCATTGAAACTGGTTCAGTCAACGGCCCCCACCCCTATGGGAGACCCAACCCCCAGACAAAAACAATAAATACAAAATTAAAAAGAAAAATGTACCACACCAAGTTTTTAAAAAGTTAAAAAGCATTAACTACAGACTGAAAATCTTTAAATCTTCCATTAACAGACATTTAATTGACTTACTGAGGGGTTTCAGGATGCAGGAAAATATGTTAAACAAACACTTTAGTTCACGGCCCCCACTCTTCTAGTCGAACTACCGACAATTACATTCAATAAAAGCTACCATTATCAGTTTACATTAACGTGATAGTTTGATATCAGCTGGTAGATCAAATCAATGTTTAAAAGTTGTATCATTATCCTTATTGATTGTACTTTACTGATGTTTAAACCAGAGCAATCCGACTCTATAAATGTACCATGTATATGTTTAGTTTATGTTTGTATATATTGTAGTTGTCTGAAGATCGCATAGCGTGAAACGCTGAGTAACAAAATATTTTGAAGGTCCTGATCTAATATTTCTAATGTATATTTATATCACATTCATGACATGATAGCTTAATCATTTTCTATTTTCAAAAAGTAAAAGCATAAACGCGGGAATCTGTGGATGTTGTTTCAAAAAACAGGAAGTAT